TGCCCGCGCCGCCGCCCCGGAGCAGCCCCGCGTGCCAAGAGGCGAGGACCACCACCATGACTCCCGCCGCACCGCCGCCAGGAGCTCGACCACTCCGCAGCACGCCGTGCTGCCGAACCCGTCAACCAGTCCGGCGCCCAGGCCCGGCGGATCTGGCCCGCGCCTGACCACCCGCGTGAGGGGACGAAGGAGGCCCGCCGCCGCCTGCGCAGACCGGGCTTCGCCCGGCCACGCCCTCCAGCGGCGGCGAGGGGGAGTAGGGAGGGAGAGGGGGCCGAGCGGAGGAGATCGGGGCGCCCTCCCCGGCCGCCTCGCGGGTGGCGGCGCGGGAGGGAGGGAGGGAGATAGATGGTCTAGGGGGCGTGGCTGGATCTGCACAGCCTAACCATTGGTGGGCTCCTCGCAACTGGCGCGCACGGGAGCTCGCTGTGGGGCAAGGGATCTGCTGTTCACGAGTATGTGGTCGGGCTGAGGATTGTGACGCCGGCGCCGGCTAGCCAGGGGTTCGCCGTGGTGAGGGAGCTTGGTGCCAATCACCCGGACCTGGACGCCGCCAAGGTCTCCATCGGCGTGCTGGGCGTCATCTCTCACGTAACTCTGGCATTGCAGCCGTTGTTCAAGCGGTCGGTGACTTTCAGAAGCGCGACGATTCAGACCTTGCGGATCGGGTGGCCACGTGGGGCCGCCTCCACGAGTTCGGCGACATGTTATGGCTGCCGCAGCAGGGCAAGGTCGTCTACCGCCAGGACGACCGCGTCGACGTCTCGACGCCGGGGGATGGCCTCAACGACAACTTGATTTTCCGTGCCACTCCCACCCAGGTGATCATTGCTGCAAGATCCGCAGAGGAGCGGCTGCAGGAGAACGGCACTGACACTGCCCGATGCGCGGCGGCACTGCTGCAGGCGGACACCATGGAACGGCAGGCCTACGGCTTCACCAATGATGGCGTCTCATTCACGGGGTACCCGGTGGTGGGGTACCAACATCGCATCCAAGCGTCTGGCACATGCATCGACAGCCCAGAGGACAGCCTCCGCTCCGCCTGCGCCTGGGACCCGCGCATCCCAGGCGCTCGCGCCGACAACTCCGGCTTCAGCGTTGCTCTCTCCAAGGCGCCGGCGTTCATCGCTGACATGCAGCGCCTCCGGGATCTCAACCCGGATGTGTTTTGTGTTGGCATCGACTCTAGGACGGGTATGTCCATGCGGTACATCAAGGCATCGTCCGCTTACCTTGGCAAGCAGGAGGACTCGATTGCCATCGACATCAACTACTATCGTAGCAACATCGACGGCACGCCGCGGGCGCACACCGACGTGGGCGACGAGATCGAGCAGATGGCACTGTGGAAGTATGGTGCCCTGCCACACTGGGGCAAGAACCACGACATCACTTTCGATGGTGCCATCTCGAAGTACTCAAAAGCCCACGAGTTCCTGGCGGTGAAGGATAGGTATGACCCTGATGGAATCTTCTCTAGCGAGTGGAGCGACCAGGTGCTCGGCATCAATGGGAGTCCGAATGTCATCAAGGAGCATTGTGCCATCGAAGGACTTTGTGTCTGCTCTGAGGACTCGCACTGTGCGCCGGAGCAGGGTTACCTCTGCCGACCGGGGAAGGTGTACACGAAGGCTAGAGTTTGCTCACTCGTCAAGGATTATTAGGATGGTGAGAACCCGAGAGTATGTTATGTTACACATAAAATACATGTATTTTTTTTCGTGCCGTTTGAGTTTGTAAGGGGATCATCTATCTATAAGATGAATCCTCAAGTTATCTGAGTTGTTAAGAGTCGAGTTAAACCGGAGTTTTGTACCCTGGGTGGCGTCGTGTGGGGTTTGGTCATGTGATGTGTTGGGTGTTGGTGTCTACCTTATAAAGCAATGAAACCCTCGAAAACGCTGCAATTTTTGCAGCACCAAATATGTTTCTCTATTTGAAGTTCTAGGGTTCAGCCCATCATTGTATGTGTTGTAAGCAAATAGGTTGATATATATATTTCATCATTAAGTATCAGAGCTCAGGTGATTTGTCTTAAAAACGATAGGATCATGTCAAAAGCGAAGGATGATGGACCGAATTTGCACCGCCGCAGCCTGCTTGGTCCTATCTCATATTTATATTAAACTAGAAAATATGTTTGTGTGTTGCAACGGGAAGAAAAAACTTCCTTGCAACTTTCTACCAAAAGAACACATCGCTCAAGGCATGAGAATCAAGCTCTCCTTTCTTAGTGAGAGACTCAACTATTAAAGCTAATGTGTATGTGGAGGCAAATAAAACATTAAGAACAATAATGAACAAAACTAGAGCATGAGAATACAACTTAGCTCATACAAAGGATATGTTATATAAATAATGGGTTTCTACCAATTCTTTATCTTTACCTAATATTAAAGGGAGGAGGTTTTCATAGTTCTTCATATGTCACACTTTTATATCCGTTGATTTTACATAATGACAGAGACTGGCGGATAAGATTTAAAAGAAGGATTATACCGGAAAAAAAGCGAACGCACCGAAACAAAACCTCAACAAACGCTAACCATCATGTCTCCAGTCCTCCCACATCGCTGTCGACTAAGAAAACGAAACTTACGTCCTTACTGTCTCCAGATCAAAATCAAATTGGATGCCTCCAGATGCAAGTTCATTCTTCGTCTTCAGTCTCCATGGATACGAGGTCAAGCAAAGAAAATTGGAGGTTGGCTACAGGAAATCCATCCGGCGTGAACGAGTGTCGTCGTGATCGTCTTGGACCTCTTCTCGACGAGGCCACCTAGTTCGTCTTGGTCCTGTCAGGATTGACAAACTAAACATCATTTGTAGCATAGTTACTGGATTCACTAGACAAGTCACCGAATCCCGATCTATTGATTTTAGTTTCCAGTTCGCTGGCCGATCCGTTGAAGAGAAGAATCCATGCGGTTTCGGTGGTGTTGGGCGTGGCAGCGCTTGAGAGGAGAAGAAAATGGAGGCAACGAGTTGAGGACCAGGTCGCTCGAGAGAGAGGGCGCTTGAGGGAGAGATGATACGTCTCCAACGTATCTATAATTTTTGATTGTTCCATGTCATTATATTATCTGTTTTGAATGTTTATGGGCTTTATTATACACTTTTATATTAGTTTTTGGGACTAACCTATTAACCGGAGGCCCAACCCAAATTGTTGTTTTCTTACCTATTTAAGTGTTTCGAAGAAAAGGAATATCAAACGGAGTCCAAACGGAATGAAACGTTCGGGAGAGTTATTTTTGAAACGAAAGCAATCCAGGAGACTTGGAGTATACGTCAAACAATCAACGAGGCAGCCACGAGGCAGGGGGGCATGCCCACCCCCCTGGGCGCGCCCTCCACCCTCGTGGGCCCCTCGTTGCTCCACCGACATACTTCTTTCGCCTATATATGTCCGTATTGTTGGGGAACGTAGCAGAAATTCAAAATTTTCTACGCATCACCAAGATCAATCTATGGAGTAATCTAGCAACGAGGGGAAGGAGAGTGCATCTACATACCCTTGTAGATCGCTAAGCGGAAGCGTTCAAGTGAACGGGGTTGATGGAGTCGTACTCGTCGTGATCCAAATCACCGATGATCCTAGTGCCGAACGGACGGCACCTCCGTGTTCAACACACGTACAGCCCGGTGACATCTCCTACGCCTTGATCCAGCAAGGTGAGAAGGAGAGGTTGGGGAAGACTCCATCCAGCAGCAGCACGACGGCGTGGTGGTGGTGGAGGAGCGTGGTACTCCAGCAGGGCTTCGCCAAGCACCGCAAGAGACGAGGAGGGAGAGGGGTAGGGCTGCGCCAAGAAGGAGATTGAATCGTGTCTATGGCAGCCCAAAACCTCAAGTATATATAGGGGGAGGGGAGGGGCTGCGCCCCCACCTAGGTTTCCACCCCTAGGGGTGGCGGCCAGCCCTAGATCCCATCTAGGGGGG